CGATGGAAATAATTGGTATGTGCTGACAACAATTGCAGTGACAAAGGTGGAGAAAAAATGCATTTTCTAGAAAAAAGCTTGATAAGTAGATTAGTTCCACCAAGTTTGAGAGTTAGCTTCCACTACCTGTTTGAATTGTCTTTTTGGCCTTGGAATATGGCCATGACTCATCCTTGAATCCAGATGTGAAGTCATTGAATAATATGTTCTCCAAAGAACCTAAGACACCAAATTGACCTACTGCAGAGACAAGGCAAGAAACTGCAATCAGTCCAACATTTTGACTATCACCCTAGAGTCGAAACGAGTCAATGTCATCTGAGATGGAGTCATCTTGGTTATTACATCTTTGCAACTTCAATACAAGAGAGCAAACAAATTTTTACTTGGATTTATGAGGACTATCTCTGGCATCTTCATGTGATTTGCTGTCCTGAAAATATTTAGGTCAGAGGATTATGTACATCTTCTTTAGAAATCTGAGCATGTAGTTTTTATAATGAAAAACAGGTAAAGAAAGCTATAGTGTTGACTGTTTATATTCATATGTGCATCTTTTGCTTATCATTGTGATACACATATTCATGCCCCTAATCTTAATTCAACATCTTATGCTTTAAATTTCCTGTTATGTTCTTTTTTGTATCGCATCTTGTTTATATATTGGTTTAAGCTGATTGAAGATGCACACTTTGTTCTTTTCATCGTAGGGAGGCTGTGAAGAGTATACTTTCTCCATATTTTGAGAAAGGTGAGCTACCTTCTATTTGTATTAGTGGCATAGCGCAAAAATGGTTTTCTTTCATTTGATTTAATGCCATAACATACTAGACACTTTTCTTTTCTCATTATTTGTTTATTGGGATACTTATTTGTTTATTGGCTAGCAATCTGGTTTCAGAACTCTAGTTTGTATCATTTTAGCATGTTTCATGCTTCGCATCACATTTCTGGAGTTCCTGCCACAGAAGCAGAGGTGACTACTACTGTTGCCTCAACTATTAATCCTTATCTTCTTCTAGTTAGATTATACTGATGGCTTGTTTGATTTTCAGATCGAAGCAGAGGTAAATGCTATAAAAGCTGTTGCAGAAGGTCTCTGCCCATTAAGAATCTCCTTGGATAGAGTAGTTTTGACTTCAACTGGGGTCCTTCTAGGTTGTTGGCAGGTTTTTTTCTTCCCTCTGAATCCACATCCCCCCTCTCTCTCGCATACACCCACACAGTGCACGCAGCTTTTTGATAGCAAGCTATCCGATGGGCTGAGGACCAATTGGTTTATGTTGTACTGCCTTTTGGAAACTAAAACATTTAAAGCAACGTTTCCGGAATATGATTTTGTGCTTTTCCCATGTCTGCTTCTGCAACTCAGGTGCTGGTTTACTGAAAGATCTAGTAGTTCTGTTTATAATCTTGATATTTTTATTTTCCTGAATGACACTTGTTGGTCTTTTCACAGATCCCCTATTAGTCTTATTCTTGTTTATGCAAAATAGTGAGAGTTACATCAACAGATAGTAGATAGATTTCTCTTTGCTTCATCATAGATGTCTAGTTGGAATATTGCCTTTCATAAATTGTACATCAGACCATTCTGCATTTGGTGTGTGAGATTCAGAGCTTCAATTATTAAGCAAGATCCACAGACTGGCCTTTTGAACTATCATTCTAATAAATTTGTCGTACATTGTGGGATGAACAAAGAAGAGAAGAAATTTTACTTTGGGTATGCATGTTGTAGTTCTCTCCCAGTTTTATCTGTAATAAATGTTGCAAGAATGATTAAAATGACAGTGCAAATGACTTGGCATGAATTTCAAGCAACACAGACATCAGTTTTCATTTTGATGGTTTATTTTAATATAATGCTTTTCTTGCACAGGTGAACTCAGGTGTGGATCCTGTTGTCCTTCGTGACAGATTGAGAACTGCTCTTCCACATGCACCACAAAAACAACTTGTAAGGACCGTACACGTGTTTTGCTTTATTCACATAAGAATCAATGCCATAACATACAAATGATTGTAGGAATTTTAAGTTATTGGATTAAACAGCCACTATTGGATCAGAAAGTGTTGCCAGAGCAGTATCAACTTGATATGAGCACGACTTATATTTTCCTTCTTCACCATCAAGTGAAGTCTGTTAAATAGAATAGTTGCATCAATTAATCTCTAAAAAGGAGCTTGTGTGCTGTATTATGATTGTTCCTGTCAGTCGATATTAGTGGCAACATTAATATCTATCTTATGGCTTACTTTGTGGTTTCCTCTAATTTCTTGTTAAACTGTTAATATCTCTGACATTGGCTGGTCTGTTTGTTTATGATTCTGATTTCCCTCTCAATAATTAATCTACAGTATGATGCTGCTATTCTCCACACAACATTAGCAAGGCTTCTCGGTCAACCTAAGTTGCCCAAGGTAGTATTCCACAATGCCACTTGAAACTGCCGCATGTGGTTTATGAGCAACAATAAAATGTTGATTAACTTCCTTGTTATGTGAGCTACTATTTCCACACAGAATCAAGGAAGATGATTATTAGAACTAGGTTGGATAACCCTGCCAATGGGCTTAACGTATGACTGCATTTCATCTTTAATGCGATTTGCTGGTTGCACCTCTTGATCTGTTCAGGCACTTAATTCCTGCTTGTATGTGCAACAAGAGACATTTGCGTGCATTTGTCCTATGAATCTACTAATTGAATTTGAAGTTCAGAAAGCTCTCAAAATTGAAATGCTTCTTCATTTCATGTCCACAGGAATCTTAATAGTACCATGCACTTATGTGCAACTTTTAAATTTTGCTAGGAAACAACATGGTTACTGTGAGTAGATATTCTTATAAACAGAGTATAATTGTTTATCAAGACCATACTCTGTAATCCATCTCTGTTCATTGGTTAGCTTATAAAAATCAAGATTTTTCCTCAAATAATCAATTTCTTCATCTCTTGGACAGGAGAACAGAATCACTGGGCTTCAATTTTTCCACGACCTTGTAAATAAACTTAATAGCCAACTCCATGGCATCCAGGTACTCTTTTCCCTGATTATTGACATTATGACTTGTATTCTTAGTATGACATTTTAGTTCTCTTAGTTTTCACAGGCATCACATCTATGAGTAGATTGAATTGGATTTTTCTATCCCTTGAATTCATTAATACTTCAAAAATTTTTATCTTCGCCATGTTGATCTATGGGGTTGCATTCTCCATTTTAATCATCCAGGCACAGGTCTCTGAGCTGTGGTACGTGGAGGAGTATGACGTCTTGGCACTCGCATTGAATGGAAGAATGAAAGTTCACAAGCTTAACCTTGGCTGTTCAAAAGCCTGAGGAATCCAGCATTGACTTGATTCCGCCATGCAGACATCTCTCTCTCTCTCTCTCTCTCTCTCTCGGCTGCACCAGAAGGCTCCTCATTTCGCAAGACCTCAGCATACAACCACTGCCTTGCCATTATGCAGGATGGTCACTGTAAAATCTGAAATTAACATAGGATGTTTGTCGCATGTATGTACAAGTAACGTTCACCCTTTCTCAGTGTAAATTTGGCAGATTTCCTGGATCCTCATTTCTCAGTGTAAATTTGCTCCTGTCATACACATTGTACACACTTGTAGGTGAATATTTAGCTGGCATAAAGATAAGAGGTTCTTGATTATTTATGTCTCTGGGAAGGCAAACGAGGGACTTCGATTTATCACAGGACACAAAGGGTCAGCCTTTTTTAGTCGGTTTTTTCTTTGTCCCAAGTTGGTGAGTTGAATAGGAGGAAAGGAAGCAAACAAACTACACTAGAACTCATAGCTTCCTTGGCCTTCTGGCTAAGATGAAGCATCGTATCTGTTCTTGTCAGATTAATGTTTGGCGGATCAGGAGCAGGAACGGTTGCAAGGTTATGTACATTTTGCACACGGCGGAACTCTATTTGTATATGGTGTAATCTACTTTCAATAATGTATAATTTTAAAACAAAATTTTGTGGGTCTCACACATGTTGTTAAAAACGAGGTACAAAATGAGATTTAAACCGCATAAATTTTTTTAACCAAATCTTGACTTTGAACTATTTAGGGACGGTCTGCCTGATGACCGTCCCTACCCCAAATCCATGTCTGGTATATGGCCATTTCTTGCACAACACACCTTTTGCTTGCCTTCTAACTTTCGTTTAAGATTAGGGATCTCAAGTAAAAACATTGGGATTACTGTTTAAAAAACTAATTAATGGACTCCTCTAAGGTAATGAAATGCAAATCTCCATATTAGATGATAGTTTTTGAATTTCATAATTTTGGATTACATTTTGATTCACCCATGCGTTCTAAGCTAAACAAAATCAAATCACAAATACGTTTTAGTTTTGAAATTATACAGGCACATAACATTCTTAACACTCCCATGCAACGAACAAGAAATTACTCATTGATGTAAATGTGATACTTTACCTTATATATTACTAACACAAAAAGGAAATCCTACGCAAAGTGATGTATGATTTATACGACAAAACACTGATCTACCTCGTTCTCATATTTGTATCAATTACTCAGTCATATCATGTTTTTAAAATCGATTTTTACAGGTAAACTCATGTACAGAATCCAACCAGATCCTAAACGCAAATAATTTTCTGTTAAATCCATTGAGTACACTTGTACATGATTAATTAGCTTCATTGAGCCAAGAAAAATATAATTCAAAGATCAGATTTTTTGTTTGGTATAAACCACATGTATCCACATTCGTTTTACAATCTGTGACTAATGTAATTCAAGTCGGGCCTAGGAGAAACTCTCCCAACGTTTTCTCTTTCCATTCCCATAGTTTCAAAGATCAGATGTGGGGAATGCAAAAGAGGGGAGTTTGAGATCAGACATGGTCAGCCATCGAGTCGGTTAATTTTTTCCGTCCCACATTGATTACTTGTACAGGAGACAGAGCAGAGGAAAACTATAAAAGCTGATTAACTGAACCTTTAAACGCATACCTTTCTCGGCCTTTTGGCTAAGATCAAGTGTAGTATCTGTTCTTATCAGTTTAATATCTGATACGTGGGCCAACGGCCCACATGATATTAAATGAATTTTTCTGGGGGAAAGGCCCATCACGGTAGCTTGCTACCGGGGCCTTCGAGCGTCGCCCATGCGTTGCACTGCTGCATGGGCCTGGCGCACCCCACCAAATCTCCATCAAATGTTGTTTCTCGACTTTTAGTTGTATTTGGGGAATGAGCGCTGATCGTTTGTTGCCAAAAAAAAATTTATGCAGACGGGGGCTCTAATAAATGACACGAAAACCATCTAGTTAAATATAGGTCTCATTTGGCAAATAAATTTTTTGAATGTTTATCTAAAAATTTTATTGTAATTTATTGAGAAATTTTTTAAGATTATTATAATTAAAGTTGTTAAAAAAATTTATAGCAGATAACCAGGCCCAGGTTGTGGAAATTAGTAGATAAAAGAAAGCATACAAAAACCTTAACACAAGGGATATGTATTTCTCTCCATTTATTTGAATGTTTGGGAAGAAATGAAATAATTTGAGACTCATATTTCTAGTCTTTTATGGGAAATTTGACATGGGTTTTTTTTGTTAGCCTCCTTAAACTTTAAATAAGTTGGATTAAGCACACCTACATTTGGTTTGATGTTTGACTTCGTCCCAAATCATTCTAACAAATCTTTGCCCTTTCTTTAACAAATATTGTGAGAACTTTTTAACATTGAATCATAATTTCAGAATTTTGTGGATAATTGTAATTCAACTCTCTCTCTCTCTCCTCTCTAAACCAGTGAAACAATTGGTCACGAAATATAAAATGAGAAATATTTCTTTAACTGCCCTTAGGTTGCCGTGGATTTTCACAAACATATTTATAGAAAAGACACATCTGTAGAGACCATGCAAAAGCACACCTAAAAACACCAAGAAATCACTTAAAAACATCTAAACAAACACGTTCCTAGAATCTTGAAAATTACCCAAAACACACTTCAACACCTCTTTTACCATCAAGCCCAATTTCTCTTCGGTATTACGCCCACCACAATAACCCTCTTTCAACCCTTGGCATAACTGCCCCACCATCCTCCTCCTTCCCCCTTATCACTTGTTGTATCCCCATCTGCCATCCCACCTTGCAACAATTCCTTCCATCTTTTTTCCATCTTTGATATGCCCCGCCACCTTTGCCTAGCCTTTAATGTCGAAAGCTAGGGTAGCATTGGTAAGTGGATAGGTGGAAGAGGCTGTAGGGAAGAAAATAAATCAGTGACGTTGACAATTTTTGGGGTCATTTTGGACAAATCAAACACCTCAGCGGCCACTAAACTATTGGTCAAATCATGTTTTGGCCATCAAACTATTTTTCATTAGTAATTGACCACTAAATAACTTAATCAATAAACTCGTGACTATTTAGTCGATAATTGCTCTTAATCTGTAAAATTAGCAGTTAATCTGTAAAATAGGGTCGCGTAGTTGTTGGACAAATTATCTTGCATTTTGCCACTTGCACTACTAATTTCACAGATTAAGAACAATTATCGACTAAATGGTTACGGATTTACTGATTAAGTTATTTAGTGGTCAATTACTGATGAAAAATAGTTTGATGGCCAAAACATGATCTGACCAATAATTTAGTGGCCGCTGAAGTTTTTTGCCCTTTTTAAAATCCATACAAGCACTTCGTTCAAATACTTTACAAAAACACATATCCACAATAAAATGTATTAGAAAAAATTCTTAAATAAACAACAATCCTAACCGGTGGTGGAGCCAAGTGTAACCAAGGGAGGGCAATTACCCCTTCCTAATTTTGAAAAGTTTAATAGTTAAGGTAAGAAATTTTAGAATTTTATTTTTTATTTGTTCCCAATAAAATTTGACAAATGCAAGAAAAGAGGGAAAGGAAATAGAGGAGTAAGAGAAGGAGAGGAGGATGATGGCAGGGCAAAGAGGGTGGAGGCGGCCGGGAAAGAGAGAGAAGGGGGAATGGAGGTGGAGGGGGTGGTGGCAAAAGTGAGGGGCAAATGGTGGCAGAGAGCAGCGATACTAGAGGTGGGGGCGACAGTGATGGAGGAGGTGATATGATGAGGAATAATGGTGGTGAAAGAGGGAAAAAGATGTGTGTTTTTAGTATTTTGGGTGTATTTTTGATGTTTTGACATATGTTTTTATAAAAGGGAAAATCATTTAAAACGTCCCTCACATTTTGCAAGATGACTTTTTTCATTATTTACTTTTAAAAGTGTAATTTTACGTCCTTTACAAATTCATCTTGATCAAATTTGGTCTCTACTTAGATTTCCGACTAATTTTTAGTCGGAATCTACTACGTGCCTTGCACGTGATCATTTTTTTAAGGACAAAATTGTTAAATCAAATTTTACATAATCCAATTCATAGTCCCTCATATTTCGCAAAATGCATTTTTTCATCCATAACAATTTACAAAATGAATTAGTTTGTCCCTTACATTTCACAAAATGAATTTTTTCATCTCTCACATTTTTCAAAATGAATTTTTTCATCTTTCATTGATCATGTGTACAAATAGTTTTTTTTTTCTTTAAATCCATGTATATATCTATTTGATTTCGCCTTAATAGTACGAATACCATGTAATATATCTTTAGTTAATTTCACTTAAACAGGTTAATCGTAATTGTAATATGCTATTCAACATATATATATATATATATATATATACAGGGGTTTAAAACTAATAATTTTGTTTTAAACCAAGCATATATCTAGATGATTTCAGCATATGAACCTATTCAATATTTGTGACTTTTGTCTTTCAGTAATAATTTATTTATTGAGTTGTATAATAAAACCATCTAATTAATATGTCTTAACTTAAATTCTATAGTCGTGCTAACAAATTGCAGTTTAAATTTGAAATTTCTATTCACCACTTTTAGGACCAACATTTGAATTATTTGCTTTGTGATTGTTTTAAAATTTGAAAGTGCCAATCACTTACTTTTTTTTGTCATACTTTTCCTTTGTTTATTTTTTTGTCCAAATTTAATTCAAAATAAATACTCGATAATGTTTAGAATTAAATGTCTTCTTTGTTTTCAATTTTCGAGTAACGAAATGAATATGAATGAAAAACTAATAATTTTTTTAAAATCCATGTATATATCTATTTGATTTCACCTGAACAGTATGAATAGCATGTAATATATATCTATTTGATTTCGCTAGGTGAAATCAAATAGAGATATATAATGTGGTATTCGTACTATTTAGGTGAAATCAAACATATATATATACATGTGTTTAAAAAAATTTATTCGCACACATGATCAATAGGGATAAAAAAAATTCATTGGGAAAAATGTGACGGATGAAAAATTCATTTTGTGAAATATGAGAGACGAAAAAAATTATTTTGTGAAATGTGAGGGACTATAAATCGAATTATATAAAATTTGATTGACAATTATGTCCTTCAAAAAATGAACACATGCAAGGCACGTAGTGGATTTCGGTCAAAAACTAGTCCGAAACTTAGGTATATGTAAAATTACACTTTTAAAAGTGAAGGACGAAAAAAGTTATTTTGCAAAATGTGATATTTTGAACGATTTTTCCTTTATAAAATTTGAACTTGGGATGTTCTAATAAGTTACTGTAGCAATGTAGATAAGTTTGTAATAAAACTTTATCTATAAAAAATACCTAAAAAAATGATCATAATAAAACTTTGTTTATTAAAAACATGCAAGAAAAAAGGACGATAATAATGTGAGTTGTAATAAAATACTGTTGCCCCACCCAAAAAATAGGTACGCTACATGCAGCGCGGTCGGTATCCCGCCCCTTCGTAAAGGACTAGTAATCAAATTATAAGGCAAAGTACAGAAATAGATATAGATAGGGCAAAGTACAGAAATAGGAGACACCAAATAATACGAGTTATACTTGATAGGGCAAAGTAGAGAAATAGCAGACGACAATAATATGAGTTGTACGTTGATTAGGAAGAAATCAACTATTATTAGTTGTACATTGATTAGGAAGAAATCAACTATTTTAAGTAAACGAATAACTCATGTAATAATTGATCCATTCGTACATGGACATCTAAGTCTATGGTTACAAGGGAGAGGAAGAAATCAACTATTTTTAGTGAACAAATAACTCGATTAACAATTGATATATTCTTATATAGAGACCTAAGTCTATGGTTAAAAGAGGAGAGGACAAAGAAATTTGCATTAATAGAAAGGAAAAAACAAAAATGCTACATAAAGTAGAGAAACAAACGACTAAAGGATTGTCATTTTCTGCCAAAAAATTGCATCATTTTTCGTGATTACATTTCCCTATTACCTTTTTCTCTTACATACATCAAATCGCTACAGTAACTTTTCCATGAAAAATGACGGAAAATGCAATCTAAACGGAGCCTAAGTATCATAACATAGAAGTCGATGTATCTACCAATGTTGTGGTTGTGGTCTTTGCTGCAACTTGACCCTTATTTAATAGACGTAGAGGTAAGTTAACTACTCTAGAATGGACCACAAGTTCAAAGAGCACAAGTTTAAACGGTTGTAGAAAAATTGCTTGGATTCATTTTGTTCAAACATATAAAATATAATCTCATTTGTTCAAAATGTAATTCACTTTCAACAATTTACAAATATAAAACAAAAATTTGTGGAGCGCACACATAGTGCAAAATTAATTTAGAAAATGTGATTGAACCTTACTTTTTTTTTAATCAAATCATGACCGTTAACGTTTAGGGACGGTTGCTACCTATCCCATTTTGCTCTAGAAGCGTTAGAGACGGGGATAGCTACAAAAAAGTTGGATGGCTTATTAAGGATAACTCATTATCCTTCCAAAATTAACCTTTTTGGAATATGGGCGCCAACAAAATCAACGTGTGCAATAATGATTGTTGGCCATCACAAAAGACTTAAAGTCTCGGTGGAGTGGGAGGTTAAGAGTTTAAATCTTGCCTCCTATCACTTGTAACTATATGTGATTTCTCCAAATTCATACGGGTGCGTAATGTATCTATTTGATATGTGGTTCAGCCCCGTCTATTTAGGCTCAGTTGTGTTTTTCCTAAAATAAGTTAGATTAAGAATAGAGTAGATAAGTGATGAGTGATTTAAAAAAAAAATACAAAACCAATGTGCAAAAGAAGTTCATAGTGTACAAATTGAAGGACCAAGGATAGGAACAGTCAATAGAGAAATTATCCGGACCAATTTTGTTCATTTTGCCCAAGATGTAACTCAATTTGTACACGATGTAACTTATTTTGCACAACATGTAACTATAGAATAAAATTTTGTAAGTTTTCATACATGATGTGAAAAATAATGTACCAATTGAAATCTAGACATTATTTTTTTTGATCAAATTTTAACCATCAACCTTCCGGAACGATTGCTTTTCGTACCCCATTTCCCAATAATGGCTGTTAGCTATTACAAAAAACTTAAAGTTTCGATAGAATGGGAGGCCAACATTCAAACCTTACCTCCCATCCCTTGACAGTATATATAGTTCTTCCAAATTTATACGGTTGCGTTGTGTACTTATTTGGTCCGTGGTTCAGTCCCATCTATTTCTCAATAGGCTCAGTTAGACTTCTCCTAGAATATGTTGGAATAAGAATAGAGCAGGTAAGTGACGAGTGATAAAAAAAAAAAAACCAATCTGCAAAGAAGTTCATAGGGTACAAATTGACGGTTGGAAGTCGAAGAATCCTGATTGGTGGCGACTGGTGAGTGTACGAGACTCGTCCTGGCAAGCACTAGCAAATAATTTACCCACGTTTGGGAAAAGAGAGAAGCCCGATCATCATCATGCTTGTAGCGTGGCAAAGTGCTAAAGGACAAAAGACACAGCTGACGTGGGACACGGCTGCCACCGAGTCTTCATCCCATGTATCGGAGCTTCCTGCTTCCCGCAGGTGCTGGCCACACGCCCATCCTCAACTCCTCACATTCCCCAGCCACGCCCGACACGACCCATTTAGACCGACGTGATACTCTCCCGACTCAATCTCCTCGCAACCCTCTTCGTTAAATCACAAGGGTCAGTCTTGGATTGCTTAAATCTATTGTTTGTCACACACAATTTCTTGATCTTTTCTTGCCTTCCTGCTCTTGGGTCTTTCTGTTTTTTTTTTTTTTTTTTTTTTTTGTACTTCCTTGATTGAGACCTCATTTGATAGGGCTGTATTTCTCAGCCAAAAGGAAAAAATCAACTTTCAGCTTAATTTCTTCCATCGTTTCATTTTCTTGGGAAGCAGATTATAGGAGACTAGCTCTGGTTTTTCCCTTAAAAATTAGGTATTATAGGCGCTTTTAACGAATTGAAATACCATTTCTTTATTTGGTTTTTGTCATCCATGTCTTCTGTGCTGACAGGTGAAGGGGATTAAAGGATAATACAGAGTTGTGGGTCCAGTTTTATGGCTCTTTGCCTAGTATATGGTGTGTTGAACTCCAATTTCTGATCTTTGTCTGTTTTTTTTTTTTCTCTTTTCACGATGACAGGGTGTTTGTAATTGAAATCTAATCTGCTAAAGCATCACTAGCTAGCGGAGAAATGAGCATGAGTTCAGAGGAAAGTCCTGAATCAACACTTGAACCCGTCAGCAGGGTGGTCCAGACACCAACAACCAAGTAAGCACTTGAATTTATAAGAGCATTTATTTGTAATTACTTGTTGAGTATATATATATTTTTTTTACATTTATTAGAGTAGAACAAGGGAGGGATTCTTGGATTATATTCAACCATAGCTGCTTTGATCATGATGTATATAATCTAGTTTTGGGTTACCAGTCAACATCAGAGATATGAACGGCTTATATCTTGACAATAGATGCTAAGGAATTATGTAAAACTTGATATAGTTCTTTTCTTAACATAACGCTTATCTTAATGGATATGTTGTACTTTTAGATTTCTCAATTTTGTTGATGCAAAGATTATATGATTTGATTGGGAAGTGCGTTAGCTGTCAATAGATCTGATACGGTTATGTGTTGTTAATCTATGGATAGTTTAAAAAGGAAGAATACATTAGGAAAAATAAAAGTATGGTACGATACATCAAACAGGTATCTTTGTTGGGGATAAATGAGGCACTTGATTTTCCTACCAATAGCAGTTTGCCTCTGCATTCATTTGAAATCATAGTTAGCATTATTTGGCCCAAGCTTGCTATAATGCCTCCCTTATGAGCATAATAACATCTCGAATCGTTCTGTCATGAGACATCCATGAAACTGCTTCATGCCAAATACCTTCTTCTATTCTCTGTGGTTAAGTTGTTCTTTGCAGGACATACTCCCTTGGTGTGTTTCTGGCATTTAACCATAAGCAATGGATTGCTTTCCTTGTAAGTTTACTTAATAGAATTCAGAGACCAGTTAGCAAATTTTGGTATTCAAGAAAGTAAATGTTTCTCACCTTCAAAATTTGAAGAATGTATTTAATCTTTTCCAATAGGCAGTTTGATGTCCTTTGGTGGCTTGTGTCTTTAAAGTTGAAATGAATCTTATTTATGGGAATTTAACAGTTACTTGTATGGTTTTCTATGTTATTCATGTGAAACCCATTGCTCCTGTTCACCCCCGTCTCATGGCATGGCCAAAGGGCAATTTTGTTCCTGCAAGTAGGTTCTTCGTTTTAGATCTGCTAAGATATTGATGTGGAAAACATCGTAGGACTGAGAATGTCTCATTGTAATAGAAGTTTTGAGGCTTGTTTTGTAATTTGCATCATTGCTGGGAAACATTTTTAGAAATACTAGTGAGTTCTATGTCATTTTATAACAGGTCAAGCTTGTCTTGTATATTGCTTAGATATATCTAAAAACCATGCTTACACTGCAGGTGCCAGTCCGGCAGGAAGCATCAGGGGAAAGTGCCAAAAAGAATTCACAAGGCTGAGAGGGAGAAAATGAAGCGGGAGCACTTAAATGACCTCTTCCTCTCTTTGGCCAATGCTCTCGGTAAGTCCCTGGTTCTCTAAATTTCTTAATGTTCTAGTGATTCTGTCTTCCTCTTTCTACATCTTTCCATGAAAAAGCCCAATGATCGATCCTCGTTCAATTCCCAAAAGTGCAAACAATACGAACAGTTTGAATGAAATGGATTTTATGTAATTTTATCTTGCAGAAGTGTCTGAGGAGACAAATGGAAAGGCTTCTGTATTAAGTGAAGCTATTAGATTTGTGAAGGACATGCTTGCTCAGATTGAGTCTCTTAGAAGTGAAAATGCAGCTTTATCATCAGAATCTCAATATGTGGGTATTTTAGATCCTCAACTGGTATCTCTAGATGTCAATACAAATGTTTAATATGTCCTTATGTTAAAATATCATCCCGTTGTAACAACAGATGACTATGGAAAAGGAGGAGCTCCAAGACGAGACTAATTCTTTAGAGTCTCAAATTGCGGAACTGCAAAATCAGGTAAGAGAGAGAGTAGGCGAAGCAGAACTTGACTTGAATGCAACTCCTGGAGGTCAGTTCGATGGGTCAACACCACATCAAGTTGATGATTGCTTCAGATTTCCTGCTCTAGGGCCTGCAATTCAGCAACCTCAAAATGTAAAACCTGTATACGTCATCCCATTATGTTCCGATCCCAGTGTTTTCCAACAGCCTGGTAATGCGGAGACCGCTTCGAGCCCTCTAACAACGGTGAGCAAACCACAAGCTAGGTACCCCACTCCTGCTGATACATGGACATCGCAACTCCTTGAAAAGCATCCTGATTTAGGTGGAGGAGATGAACATTGTGGTGGCCGCAGCTGTTAATATACGGTCCATAAGCCCAAATAGAGTACTCACATAGTTGCACTTCTAGTTCCCTTAGTTTCTCAACTTGCAGTTTACTGCTTTTTAGTTTAGTTGGGTATGCTTTTATGGCAAATACAATTTGAATGTTTTCATGTTTGAGAGGGTGGAAGAATTGACTCTGATGTCTTTTTAGTATCCAGCAAAATCATCAATCTATTGTAGCATTGGAAATAGATAAGATGTCCAAACAATGCATGATCCTGAAGCAATGCATCCACTTTCCTCGAGGTGTTTCCCACTGCCTGCAAAACACAAGATCTAGTTCAGGAGCACTGCTGCTTCCTTTTCTTCTTCCACCAGTTTTACAGACGTCCTTAGTTTGCTTTTTGAACACAAATATCCTGCATGACATGACTGTTACTATTCTTGATCATCTATTCTATTGTTTGTAGTTTTGTCCTTTGAGTGAGTCGCTGAGAGGATACATAATTTTTTTTTTTACGACACGGGGTATCCGGGCTTTCGACCTAACTAATTCCCCTGTGGCTCGGGAAAGGGCACCATAATCCACTTTGAGCATGGTAACTATAGGCATTGGCGGAGCTAGAAAAAAATCTTAGTGGGGGCAAAAATAATATTAAAATTTTTTATTTACTCTTTTTCTAGTTTTTTAAGCAAAAAAAAAAAAATTACCAACAAGTACAAATGATACGTATATTTCATGAAAAACATAAAAAGATAAACTCAAAATTATTAATGTAATAATAATTGTATTTCAAAAACAAACTAAGCTATTTACAATTGCTCACGACGAGTTTTCATATTTTGATAATGGTTTGTAATTTTATCATTTTGGACTTCACAAAGTATATTTTTCTCAATATAAGTAACCAAACTAAATTTTGTGACTCATTCTTTTACATTTTTTCTAAAAAAAACTCTGAGGGCACACTTAAAATTATGTCAAAATTGTATAAGTATTATAGGAATTTAAGGCCCCACCTTAAATCCGCCCCTGACTATAGGATTCGAACACTGATCGATGTCTTAAATAAGGACTACATGACCGGCCGAGCTAACCGTGGGGTGAGAGGATACATAATTAAGTAGACAAATTTGTGAACGGGCTTTCCGCGATGTGTTATTAGACCTGATAGCCATTGATGATTGTAGAATTGCAATTTCATAATTAAGTGAGTTACACTTGTACCACTTAAGCCTCCTTTTCTTGGAATTTCCCAATTTTAAAGTACAGTTTGCTAAACAATAGACTTGGAGGAAGAAAAAAACCCATTTTCCCTTAAAATTGATGGACTAGATGACAAATTTGATTTTAGATCAGAAAAAAGTGAAAAGCATATAGAAATGCTGTTTAGAAAATGATATCCATAAGGGAAGAGGTCGCTTTTCAACTAACAGCACATTCGTTTCCAAAGCAGATTCTGTCTTTTCCTACATGAGAACACGACTTCTTTTAGGAAATGGATCCAATAACCAATCATGCAGAATCTAGAAGAAAGTGGCCTTATTGTTAATTTCTTTGATTACTGGCCATTTTCTTTGCGCTATCATCAGGGTTCAGGTCCAGTAGGTGACCTGTCCCACCCAACCCATCATTACCAACAATTGCAATAAAATCTGTACTCTTTCTATCAATTAATGTCATCCAAGTAGATTTGTTTGGGGTTGGGAGCCTTCCGGGAGGTTGGGAGTGTAACACTTACCCTTTCACCTTCTGTGTCAAAACTGCCTTCTACGGTTTCGTATCCCACATCGATAAACTCCGCGGGGGTGGAATTGGGAGGGTATATTAGTCTCCTGTGGATCCTTCAAAAGTTTTGTTGGCTTTTGAGGGTTGCTCGGGGTTAAGGTTAGTATAAACTGTCAAGAATCTACAGTGCTCGACAAACAAAAAGTAGTAGATTTGTTTGGATAGAGTATTATTTGAAATAATTATTGTAATATTTTTTGTGATGTCATATATGTGAGATAAAAAAATGATTGAAAATTTAAAAAAAATAGGTTAAAAAATATGTTTATAATGCAAGTAAAATATTATTTGAGATAATTTCACTGTCCAAACACGGTTCAACTTTCATTTGATTTCGTACAGAGTTTTGAAAATATTTTCTTAGAACTTGTCTTAAAATATTTTCTTAAATGAAGTAATTGTGGCCAAGATTTTATCTCACTGCTAGTTTGAACGAGTTTTTATGTGCAACAACAGTTAGTTTTATATTTTTGAGTCTGAGTTAGAAAAATCAACGAATACTTACGTTTGGATTGCAATTTTTCAAAAAAAAAAAATTTGCTACATTTTTCGTGAACACATTTTTCAATTACCTTTTTATCTCACAAATATCAAATAACTACAGTAATTTTTTTTACAAAAAGTCTAGAAAAATACAATCCAAACAAAACATCAAATCTTGTGCAAGTTTATTGTCCTCAGTCAATTGACCTGCTCTAAAGTCTTATAGTAAAACATACTGGGGCATGAACGCTTTGTGAATCGACCATATAATTGGTTAACGATTAATAGGATGGGCAAATTCTTAAGTCTCTAAAACTTAAGATTTGTGTAATGTCAAAGTTAATGAGAGGTGAGAAACGAACCATAAAAAGATAAAATCGATATTTCTTAATGATGAATTGCTTATGTAAAGAGTTGAGAGTTATCTTTGGACAATGTCGAATTCGTACTAGAATATGATGTATAGATTAGCGTAAAAGCTTGTTCAAACTTTCATTTTCTAAAGGTGCAGTCAATGCGATTGAATAGCAATATATTTTTTTAAATATTATTTTATTGGTATCACACTTCAATTTTTAATCAACTTTTTTTATCTTTCTAATAGCTTATTCATCTTATATATATATATATATATATATTATAAAAAGTATTACGTTAATAACATCTTTATCCAAATATATTGGATCAATTGTTTTTGAAAAATTTTATTATAACAATATATATGAAAAATTTTTACTGTAAATATTTTCTTAAAATATTTAATATATTATATAGATAAATTATTTTTATTTATAAATTACTGTAGTATTATATTTAAAAATTTTATTTTTAAAAAAATGGCGAACTCAAATGGACCATAAAGGAAACTCTCACAGGCATCCAGATTCCAAACACATTCCATTGTATTTTTTCATAGTACCCAACCTTTTTTTTTCTATAGAATTTTTATAACCTAACCTAACTTATTCTAGGGGAGGGGGAAGGGGAAAGGACTCGATGTGAATAAAAATTCCATCAAAACTGATCAATGAAAATCGTTATATATTATGATAAATTTTATATGAGACAAGATTCGAATCCTTAATCTCCTGTACCGCGTTCTTAGGCTTGGGATGACCGCTGTACCAAAAGCCTACCTAAGTAGAGTTACTGGCTGCCCCTTGTGAGCACATGATATCACTTGTCCACACTTGGCTTTACTTTTATGAAGCCATCTCTCTTTCACACACACACACACACAAAAAGAACTTTCCTGATTTCTGAGCCTCCTTGCTTGCTTATCACTTCATCAGTTCAGTTTTCTGACTAGGTTGCAACCCTGTTTACACCTTCTTCTACTAGCCAAAATCCAAGACCGAAACGGGACAAATAAAACTCTGCTAAAAATGCGAGGTGCTGGATCTGGAGCTGGAAGCTTACTTAAAGTTTTGGCCAACAAATTTGATGTTCTTGCTTGGTACCATCAATTAAACTTTTTTCCCCGTCAATTTTCACTTATTATTACAGCTTTTGGACTCACATTTATGGTTTTTTAGTACATAAGAGTTTGTGGGTTTTACGTTCCTTTTCTTGGATAGTTAATTAATTTCCTGAAGACGGTCTTTTTATTTCTTTTTGTTTTTTTTTTCCTGTTGTTTTCTTAAATACTAGGCTGGAGCCTAGATGGGCTAATATTATTTTTGAAAACCGGTTTATCCAAAGGATTTCTCTAATTTTGTTATGTTTGTTTGATATTGCAGGCCTGTGGTTAGTTTGGTGTATCCTCTGTAAGTGGGTCATTTGGAAATCTGAATGTGTGATTCAAATTCATAGCATTTCTTCTTTATTGTGTTTCCTTAAATTTGAAAGATTGAATTTTTTTTTTAATTTTTGAGACTATCTGTGTATGTTAAGGATTTTTGAAATGGTTGCATTTATTGTGATTATTTTGGCAGTTATGCTTCCATCAGGGCAATTGAGACCAAGTCTCCTGTAGATGATCAGCAGTGGCTGACTTATTGGATTCTCTACTCCATGATCACCCTGTTTGAGCTTACTTTTGCAAAAATCATTGAATGGTAATTCTCCTTTTGGGGCAGACATTTGACTATCAGTAGAAATCTTTTCCCGTTCTTTGGGATTGAACTTCCCTTCATAGCCTTTTATCAAAGCTTATTTTGCGGATTTATAGCAAAGCTAAAGTGGACCATTTAGCTGTATACCTGTTCAAGTTTTGAACTTTATGCTGATCTGTACTTATGGATTTAAGTTTACATTGTTGATCTGCAGAATTCTGTTACCCAAATGAGGTGTGTCGGTTCATTAAATTGTCTGAGGCTAAGGTGATTGTGAAAGGATAATTCAAGAGATGGGTGTAATTGATTTTGTCACCTGTGGACTAAAATTTCACTGGTGACGGTAGAAGTTGGATAGCTTCTTTTTAAGATCTTAGTACTAGCACTGTACTGCCTGCAGGGTTCACAATGGAGATTTTAGGGGACAGTTTTAAGTTTTAATAATTCGCGATTGGGGAGGAAGGGGGAGGTTTGGGTTGAGTTGAATGACAATTCCGGTAAGTAATGCTTTGGGAGAATTATACTGACTGTTACTACCATTTCTTCCACATAATTGGGCTTCCTATTTATAGCCTGCAAACCATCTGAGTATCCCGTCGTGGGTGAATTGATTATATTGCTCTCCACACCACTGGACAAAAAACATATCTTCATTATATCTCATGTTTTAAGCCTTGATCTTTGTTTTCAACAGGTTGTAGGTTTCAGCATTGTCTATCTGGAAAATTTTTTGTTCATTATTGCTTTCATGTTTTCCTTTATGGATTGAGATCAATCTAGAGATTTAAAAGTGTGATTTTTCTGAAGGTATTATGTTGTGGTTTTGATACAAGTTGGTGAATTGCAAATTTGTATTTGTCCTGCACCAACGTACATGTGAGGTCAGAGGATGTTGAGTACCTTTTTAATTTTTAACCCAATCTTTTGGCGCTTCACCTACTCTATTGCTCTGGCTAGCAATAAGGAAAGCGGCTTGCCAAAAATTTGATTTTCTGTCATTTACTCAATAAGTAGTTTGAACAGGGGAGGAACCAATTGCTTTAGGGGGAAGTGATGGCTTGCAGAAAATAAAAAAGATAATGGAACTTAGATTCCTTAAGGATTTTATGGATTTGCATTGATTGAAATGACTTCACCAAAATGACTCATTGTGCTTTGTATCTAACCATTATCGTTGGGCTGTTGCTTCAAGAACTTGTGGTTTAGGAGGAGAAAGCAGACAAAGTGAAGGTCTAGTTTGTCCCTCAAAAGTCTACATCTCTGTCTTAAAATTCAGCATTTTATCTGAGTTTTGGTGGTGAGGATCAAAGACAAGTTCAACTCATGTCCTCTTTCACTTTCCCCATGGTTGTGGGGTTTCATGTGTTTCTATCAGCTGTTTACAAACTTTTACCTTCTTGTTAATTGGTACTTTGTTAAAAATACCAAGAAAACTTATATGTCTTTATTTGCTATGTACTCAAATATTATGACTCAGTGTGGATCTTATTTGATTGTATAACCACCATTTCGTTTTTAGGTAAACAGCAACAGGTGCAGTAGAATTTGCTTTTTGTTTAGCTTGGAACTGCTTAAATCTCAGGGCAATTCAAATTCAATGCAGTCTTAAAATGTTTTGATCATTCATTTCTGCTGGTTTCAACTTAAAAGGCTTGGAATTTGCGTGTTAGAATCTGCATTTCTATCATGGCATCGTGTATAAATTAGTCATGTTTTCTGAATTTTCTAAAGCAGCATTATGTTAAGAGCTTGCTCAAAGTTTACCTTCTCAAAATGCCAGGATCCCTATCTGGTCTTATGCAAAACTGATCTTGACCTGCTGGTTGGTCATGCCATACTTCAACGGAGCTGCCTATGTCTACGAGCACTTTGTTAGGCCTACCTTTGTTAACCGACAGCCCGTCAACATTTGGTACGTTCCACGGAAGAAGGATGTCTTCAGTAAGCCAGACGACATTCTCACTGCAGCTGAGAAATACATTCAAGAACATGGAACAGAAGAATTTGAGAAGATGATTCACAGGGTATGTCGACTAATCTTTCTTCCATATGTTTCATTGGACCCTTTTTGAGAGCAAGTGAGGAATGCATTCCTGGAGATGCAGTCCTAACGTAAAATTATCTGTTATGGCATTCTTCATGGTTTGTTTTGGCAGTTCTTGCAGTATGGACTAATTTTCGTTTGAGTATCAGAATCATGTTGCTATTTTGTTCATGCAGACTGATAAGAATACGACGTACAGCAGCAATGACTACAATAACTACAGTTATTACGACGATGACTACAGATACTGATCCGTAATGGACTATGGCGTACGGACCTTAAAGGGTTTTACTGTTGCCATCTACCCTAGTATGTTTATGCTGTTGTAAAGAGTTTTGTTGCTGATGCTTCCATGTTTTGTGAAGGTGTACCATGAGTCTACGGTGTTTTGTATTATTAACTGTGGCTAGTGTTGTACCATCCTTCTTGGAACTAATAATAGTAGAGAACCCTTTGGCAAGATTTTCACTGGCACAAACTCGACAGCTTAATGAGTTTAATTCACTGGAAAGATTTTCTACACACAAAAAATTTGTGCTAGAATGAGTTGCAACACATTTATCAGATTCAGATTCCTCACATCTTCTTTGACTTTGTTAATATGTGTGCAGCTCCTTCATATTAACAACTCATGCTTTCAGGATGAGATTCAAGAAGAGGGTGATTACATGATTTATGCTACATCAAAATGACACCAACATCTAATGTATAGAGATAACCAAGAATCCAACACCTGGAGTCCTAGATTGTACTCCTTTTTTTTTTTTTTTTTTGGGTTTGTGTGGGCACGTTGATATGATGAATGGGTATAGAAAAGTAAAAATTATAAAATTTCAAGATTTTGTTTTGCTTACATCGTATGTAGAATTTTCAATCACCTTTTTATCTCACATACATCAAATCATAAAAAGTGCTGCAATAATTATTTCAAATAACCTTCTGTCCAAACAAACTCTATTATATGCCTGAAAATTTTTCTTTCGTCGACCAAAGTGTAAATACGCGATGGGGGTGGGCGTCGCAAGGTTCATTCCATGCAATTTGAAAAGTAAATTTGTAATTTTTAAATTGCATCAAACTGTATTTGACTATTTTAAAATTATATCAAACGGTAACAAACAAACTTTATTTGATTTGCACTTGAATCTAACTTGTTTACATCTAAAAATCTAATTTATTTACACCAAACTCTTTTAACTTTTAAACGGAAATTCTAATAGTTTATAGCAGAGAAAAACTCGCACGAAATTGTGTTAACACAACACCCGATCCATGCGCCAGTAGTTATAATATTAATGTTTAGTGGTTGCTGATGCTTAGGCTGTTCAACTGATAAAGAAATTGTAACATAAATACGTACATGGGTTGCAATTTGCATGAGGAAGGAAACTGTTGAAACTTTGCGATAGCTTAGAGAAAAGAACAAGCAAAAGCAAGGAAAATAGGGGCATTCCGAGAATTGAACTCGGGACCTCTCGCACCCTAAGCGAGAATCATGCCACTAGACCAAATGCCCATTTGTGCTGAGCTAGCTAATTTCTATTTTAGTTTTGAATAAATTTTTTATACAGCAAAAGTTAAATTTCAATTCAAATTTTGTGTGATTATAGTTTTCAAAATTTGCATAATTATCGTTCATCCAACGCTGCTACTACTGATAGTGTATACATTTAAAAAGAATTGCTTGCTTTTTTTTTTTAAGAAGACAGATGGGGGAAATTTCTGGAGTTAAGGATCTCTCTTCATTTACCTGCCCCATGTCTGTTATTCGAGGCTCCTGCACTATGATAGAGTCCACAATAGAGTCTTCATCCATTTTAGTTCTACTAACATCAGATTTCTTAGTAGTTGGCACAATTTTCTTGTTCACCGCATTTTCCTCTGGAATCCAGACTGTTTTAGTGGTAAATTTTTTTTGGACAAAACTTCTCAATATAACAAAAATTTACTGCAGCCTTTACACCATGGGGGCAGCCATTTATAGTCCACCTTTTAAGCACCAAATTCTCCAGCGGAACTACAGAACTTACTTCAGAAATGTAGGAGTTTACCTGAACCAAGCCCAGCGAACCATTTCGAGGACTCGATCACTTTGCACGGTTTTGACCTCACAACTATAAATTGTCCCAAATAAATCATTGAACAAAAAAAGAAAATGCTTAGTTTAATAACTTCCATCAATTCTGAGCGTTAAATGTAACGGAACTAGGGATAAAACTATCAACTAATAACATGGAGTTTAATTTTAATGTTTCTTCCTCTTCTTTCACCTTTTACCTTTCACCTTTTCTAGTCCTAATTTGTTGAAATAATTATTCAACGAAACCTTTTAGGTTGTTTTCTAGTCTTAATTCCGTGACACCTAGTGGTTAAAATTGACGGAAGTTCTTAAGAACCTAAGTTTCTTTTTGGTTCAAGGATCTGTTTGCGATAATTTATAGTTGACGAGTCAAAATGGTATAAAAGATAATAATTTATATGCTATCTGAAAAGTTTCCTTTATTTACATAGAGCTCACAGGATGGATGGCATAGTACGATCTGAGCCATTGATTCTTTAAATATTGGATCTATTCAAGTGTGAGTCTTTATTTAGGATTGATTCCACTTTGTTCCCCCAAACTTTGGATGATTACCCACTTTAGTCCCTAAATCTCAAAATATGATACTTAAGTCCCTAAACTTATAAATACCTCCCACTTAAGTCCTTAAACTTATAAAATGGGACACTTAAATCCCTAAACCCTAGAGGTGTCAAATAAAACCATTTAACTAATTTTACCCATACCCGCCCATTAATAATTGAATATGGGTACATTAAATTTTTATATATGGATATAAATGGGTTACCCAATTATACCCATTTATTAAATGGGTATAATTGGGTAACCCATCTAACCCATTTAACCCATTTAACTTACATTCCCAAACCTTTTGTATTTCCTGGGGTGAAAAAGAGCTGGCTGGAGTTTTTTCAGGTGGAAAAGACTCAAATTCTTGAAAATTGCAATCTACATCTGTAAAAGTATCCCAATTATTTTCTTGAGTAGTGATGGGTCTGGTGAAGAATTTCAGGGAGAAAAAGAGGGGCCCCTGGAGGATGAGCAGTTTTGAAAATTTAGCAATTATTTACGCGATTTACTTTCTATAAAATGGTGCAAGTTTTGAAATATTTGATAATGGCTAACCTTTTGTATTTCCCAAACTATTTTTTATGTTAAGTATTTTTGTTTTATTTATTATATTTATTTGTTGGTTTTATCTTATCGCTTTATTTCCTTGTAATTTATTAATTTGATCATTTTTTAGCATCATCAATTTATGACAAATTTTAGCTTCTTTTCTTACCTTTTCAAATGAAATTTTAAATTTATAAACGAAAAAATACTAGGGGTTCAAAGTTTCGGATTAAATTTTTTTGTTAACTTTCATATTATTTAGTCCAAATTTTTAGATTCTCATTGTTCAATTATTAAATAATATGTAATTTTGCGACATGGCATGCGGATGGAAAAAAAATTGATAATTAGACTTATTTGGCATAATAAGTAAATATTTAAAATTAATGATGGGTGTAAAATGGTATAAATTGATAATTTAGTTTACAAAATGAATTTATATGAGCTTGTAAAAATTTAGAATAAATGGGTTATAAATGGATAATTGGGTTACCCAACTCATTTTTTGACTTACCCATTTATACCCATCTAATTAAATGGATATAAATGGGTTGACTCACTTATACCCATTACCCATTTTACCCAACCCAAACCCGCCCAAATCACCCATCTTGCCACCTCTTATAAAATGGGATATTTCGACCACTAACGGCATTCAGGATTTGTTAATAATTTTCCTTAAGTGGGAGGCATTTATAAGTTTAGGAACTTAAGTGTCCCATTTTGAAGTTTAGAGACTGAAGTAGGTAATCGTCCAAAGTTTGGGGGGACAAAGTGGTATTAACCCTTTATTTATATATATATATAGAGCTCACCCAAAAAAAAAATGAAAAAGAATAACAATTTTGTAAGCACCCAAAAATCATGATATAAGCACGCGTCTGGTCACCGGTGGGCTGCAGAAACTGGCGGGAATCCACGTGATTGGAGGCAACACCCGAGATGCTGATCCCCCCTAATCCAATTACTAAGCTAAATTACATAAATAGCCCTACTTATTCCAACAGATTCAGATTCTGTAGCTGACGTGTCCCCACCGCAAAAAATCCCCTGGACCCAAAACCGAAAAACAAATTGACAAAAATAGGAAAAAAAAAAACAGTTGAATTCCGCGAGGGAAAAAAATACGTACAACACAGCTATATATAGACATCGGAAATGAGACAGAGAGAAAGACTTGCTCAGTTGGAAATTTTTCTCTGTGCAGGAAGAATTTGATTCCATCACAAGCTTCATCATCGTCGTTCTCGCCGGAGGGGGAAAAAATACCTCCGCTGCATAGATTTCGATATATTCAATTTCGGTAATTTCAGAGCTCGTAATCACCTCGGATTCGTCACGTATTCGGAGCAGCAAGTTACCCTTTTTTTTCAGCTTCTTCTAGGTAAATGCATTAATGATTATCAATGCCGTTATTGTACTGATTTCTTCATTTACGCATTTAGTTTTTTTTTAAGAAGAGAGAAACTGGATTTAGAAGATTAATTGTTTGGATAATGCTGTTTAGTGATCTTTAATAATGTGTGTTTATCTGAATAATTTTTAAACAATCCCTAGCTGCTGTTGCTGTTTGAAGTTAGGAAAAGTGATTTTAGCGCTGGTTTTTTCCAATTTCTCATGGCACAGTAGAAGATTGAAGGAAACCGTAGTGATTAATGTATGTTCTCCGTAATGTTTTGATGTCGATGTTTTCCTCTTTTTTGTTTGTTTCAGCTGTTATTTGTGCATGTATATTGCATAAAGTATCACTATTTTGATTTCGCGGATTTATTTTTCTGATTTAGTCCTGGAAACGTATATAGCCGTCATTTTAGTGTTTTCTCTGTACCTATGATGTATCATTTTAGTGTTTTTTTTAATGGTTTTTTTCCGTCAAAATGGTATAATTTTTATTCTAGTAAATAGAAGTGCAATACTTTTGACGGATCTTAGAGATTGAACTGTCTTTGTCATAGTTAGAGTGGTGTTCATCCAAGGTTCTGTTTCTAAGGATAGCTTATGATTCCTTAGCAGGATACCAATAATCTAGATCCACTAGTATTGGATGAAAACTACGAGTTTGTAGTGGTTCTTCATGTGGTTTTCAGTTTTGTAATTTCTAAATTTTAGGAATTTAAATGATGCCAGGGAGTTTCAGTAATAGAGTTTTGAGGTACCTGAGCATGTTCATTTGTGATCTATGAATGAAACAAGTAGGGAACATCGATGATGTAAATGCACTGAATTTTGGTTGTTTATGTTTACTTTTGGACTGTATATTTGATTACTTTATTCCGACTTATCACCATTGGTAACCTGCTCCACCTATCATTTAGATTTTCTGTGGAAATAATACTAGATGAGAACCGAACATGTATCCAAGGAAAATAGCATTTCAAGATTTCTATGGAGGAAAATTTGGCTCTTTTTTCTCATGTTCTACAGGCATGGCATTCTATAGATGGTTTTATCTGCTCGAAGCACCGAGCTTGATGTAGCAGCTTAAATGACTAACTTACAGCGAAACAGTGTTGCTGAGAGGAACATTGATCAGGTAATTAGTTTTCGCCATGTCTTGGGTATATATGTTTTGAAGTTTTTCTGTTGCACTAAATGAGAAAGAAACTTTCAGTTCTCCATTTAATAGTACAATTACCGGATTGAATGACTTACATACAAGCTTTTTCTCTACAAGTATGGTTTTCTCCCTTCATGAAGTTTACAGATCTGACTCTTGTCGCTACTACTAGATTATAGAGGAGTTAGAATTTGACAATTACATCATAAAATTCGTTTACAATTCTTATCTTCAAAATGTCGTTCCATAATAGGAAAATATATAATTCCCTAATTTCACATCAAGATATTGTTGCTTATAAGAGTTTATAAGCTTGATGAATTTTAAATGAGAGTTTATATGCTTGATGAAAGTCAAAATGAATCTATGAAACACAGACTTTATTTACAGCTGAACTAATCTGCAGTCTGATTTTTCCTTTGGTTATGAGGTGATAGTCATTAAGTGGAGACTGTGGCAGACTGGTCAGATTAGTCCCTGTTCTAACTTAGTGTTCAGCTGGTGAAAGAGAATCATTCAGAAAACTAAATAAAACATAGGAAGACCTTCCTGGCCAAATTCAGCTCCTTATTTCATTTTGTGGATCATATATTTCTTAATGTTTGTCTTCAAAAACTTGATGACAATCTAGTACTGACTACTTTTAAATCTATTTTTGTTTTTATTTTTTTTAAAGGAAATATAGCAAATTCTAACATTGAGTGATTGCTTTAACCCAAATTCTTTAGTTTGGTGGTGGTTCATTCATATTCATTATCTGTTGTGTACCTGGTTCTTTGATGGGGATTTTCGAAGTTGATTTTTTCTTGTTAACTGCAGGCTATTACAGCATTGAAAAGAGGCTCGTATCTACTAAAGTATGGCCGCAGAGGGAAGCCAAAGTTTTGCCCTTTTCAGCTCTCTAATGTAAGCTCCATTGCACTCATATCCAGGAGTAATTTGACTTCAATTGATTGCTAGTGTATGGATGCTATTCTAATTTTAGGTTTCCTAAATTTCATTTGAAAGTGTTTTTAAAACAGTGATTTAATTATTGCAAACTTGGTTTATCAGGCATTCAATTTTCAGTCCATACATAATTCTGAAAACTAATATTAGAAGGTTTCTTGATGGCTCCTTTCTGTATGTCACTGAAATTTGATTCTAGGACATATGTTGCTTGTTAATCTCTTGTAGGGATCCCTGGTCTAGGGAAAGGGATCCAGGTGGGGACAGCTTGGTTACTCCCAAGCCATCTACTGCTCGATTAGTTTCTGGGTTGGGTCCCCCCCTCCTCTTCCTATTCTTGATGAACCACAAAATAGAAAATAATAAGAGGTTGCAAATAATTTTCAGACACAGTTAGGATGATTTTAGGGGCTTCTACAACCAGAATGAGCCCTTCTTCTATGATTTTGTGGGATTTTACAACCAACTAGGGTCCTATATCTAATTTTTTGGTTTTTAATTTCTTCCTCATGTTCCATTTTTCTTCACACCTGTAGCCTCCTATAAAATGTGCATAATGAGGCTTTCAGACACTTCTTTAACAAACTTGGCTCACATACATGCATTTCAGGATGAGACAACACTAATATGGTTTGTTGGTAAGGAGGAGAAACAGCTTCGACTGAATCATGTTTCACGAATTATACCTGGACAGCGTACTGTAAGTTTGTTCTATGTGCATCTCTTGCTTGTATTTACCATTAATTTTGAAAGCTTTGAGTGCTGTGCTGTGGTTTACCACCAGAGAGAGAATGAAAATATGAATTGCAACAGAAGAAGTCATATCTACTTTGGTTTCTTAGAGTTTAAAGATCTTGCTTCGAATTAAAGTTCCGTTTACTTTGGATTAGCTAAAACACAATAAAGAGTGGAGCCATATGAAACATGACATGCAGGATTTGACACTTTCAAGATAGTCTCAATCTTCCCAAATATGGTTGGACTCATATGTAGAATTTGCCAATGATATTTGACATTTAAAGAGCATGATGTAATACCATATTTGGAGACCTATGTGCAGAGGCCTATTTAGCATATTGCTGACAGTGGTTAAATTAAAATCCTAGGTAGATATAGCTGTTGAATTTTTAGATTACCAAAAGTATGCTTACGCTCTATGATATTCAGCCATCTGTTTGAAAGAAAACTACAAAAGATGCTGCGTAATGTGCTCTGTTCAATAAGCCTACAAAATAAGCTTTAGGCATAGGGAAGTGAACTCAACCAATCATTCGCATGCTTGATTTTCTGATAACAAGTCTGCAGTTTATGCATCATGTTGCACATAATGATTTCTACTCTGATGCATTTAGTACCATTGAGTGTTGAACTGGTCATGCAACTTTGCATGAGTATTTGTCATGAATCTATCTTGAGCTTGTCCAACAACTGACTTGGTCGCTTACAACTATCAATAGAGCATAATCATTGCAGCATATTCTGACCACCTCTCTGGATTTGGTTCTTGTATCCTGCTTCGGCATCCTGTTAATCTTTACTAGCATCTTATCCTCTAGTTCCACTAATCAGCCTTGATACAACCATGTCACTTAGTGATTCCCCTATTGCTTAGTTTTTCCCTTAGTCCTTATGCTGATTGTCTTATGAAGGCAATTTCAGTTCATTCTACATGATCATGGATGTTATTTCTGTTTTAGTACAACAAGTCTGCATGAGTGCGTCAGTTGTATTAATGCTGTTTCTGCTGCATCTCTCATGTACTTTGTTGACTTTCATAGGATGCTTGTCCTTTTTTTTTTTAACTTGGATTAAGATCATATCTAGCAGGTTTAAGTGAGACAAAAAAAAAAAAAAACCAGTAGATAGTGTTTGCATTTATGTAACAATGAGAGCTCGATGCCATATATTATCCCTGAAACATTATCTATCATTAACTTGATTTGACAGTTAAATTCAGATTATATCACTCAACTTCTGCCACATCCACGGTTCAATTAACTCATCTTATGGTTGTTTTTGCAGGATGTATTCCAACGTTTTCCTCGACCTGAAAAGGAATATCAATCATTTTCTCTTATATATGGAAAACGATCCTTGGATCTGGTAGGCAAATTAATTTGTTTTTCTTAGAAGGACTCTCATGTGAATACCTTAATTTTGACCTTCTAATCAAGGATTAATTGTACATATCTGCACTGGCACATCCTTTGAGTAATTCGGATGGCTTTCAAACCTTGCAAATCATCTATATGTTGAAACCAAGATGAATAATAGGGGATTTCTCTTTTCTGAAAGGGATTCTGTGACATGTTAAAAAAAGTTAGGAGGTAGTAGGCCTTGCAAAAAGGGACCAGGTACTTAATGATCACCATGGGCGATCATTTTGAGGCATGTTTTGGTTCGGATTGGGGATACTGTTTAGTTTTTTGAACAGTCTAGATTGACCCACATACACCCTCTTCCATACAGCGAATTAAGCAATACTTAGCTCAATCCTTCATATCGTTGAGGTGGCACTTTCACAAAAACCCCATCCTCCATTTCACGAATCATTGCAAAAAAATTGCATCTCCACCCTTTCCAGGTGGAACTATGAAGATGGATATTTGGCTGATTAAAAGTAGATGGAGTTGACTTAGTAACAATCATGAGAATTTAGAGGTAAAAGAAACTAGGACATAAAGTGGAAAAGCAATTATTGTAGTTTGCTAATGAATCCTTTCTAATGTCTATACAAATTAACCAAGAGTGACATGGTTTTGAACGAAAATGTTGACAAATTGAAACATGTAAGAAGCAGATAGCAAATATAGCACCGAAATAATAGATTAAGTAGCTAAGCAGATGGGTATGAGATTGGTTTTTGGTATCACATAAGGACATGCTAATTCCTGGGCCACTTATTGTACTAGTTTAGACAATGAATTTTGCTCTTAAAATACTTACTTCCCGTTATCCGACTAGAAACAAGGATCTATTGTACACTTCAGTTGAAATGGCACACAGCTTTTAGAGGGCAAAAAGAAATTTGGAAAAGCTTCATACATTCAACTGACCTGTTGAATTTTAATATTGGTGACATGCATATCAGAGTTTTGTTTCCTTCTTGCCATTGAAGAAACATGCTCTGCTTGATGCTCGATTGTCCTCCATAATTCTCTTTGAACTGGGACCAGAAGAGCTACTGTTTTCCTCCTGTCCAATTTGTGGTTCTACTTTATGGGCATGAATTATTATGTTTGGCTAGCATACACCCTTATAAAAGTGACGCCTTTTGCTTCTTCTGCTGACCAATGGTTCCTTTTGAGCAATAACAACAGAATCTTGAAGTCTCTCATAGAACTAAGAAAAGAGTTGCTTTTACACTCAGCTTCTTCTTCTGGTTTTGGAGATAAACTTATGTTCATCTCACATGCTGCATCCTCTAAGAATGTTTTACTCAATAAAGTTAAGGGATTGTCTTATCTGTAAACAATATTCACAGATGTGCAAAGATAAGGATGAAGCAGAAATCTGGTTTATCGCCCTTCAGGCATTGATCTCAAAGGGGAATTATCAAAGATGGAAAACAGAAGTAAAAGGTGATGATATATCATCAGACACTTCAAGTGCTGATGCTCAAAGGAATATACGGCCCACTGTGTCAACTGGCAGTGGAGATGCTGCTTATGAGGTTTCTTTCTCTGCTTTGAACTGACACTTGAATTAGTCTACTGCAGTTAATTCAATCAGCTTAGTATTCTTTGAACAGGATTCCAGACAAGTACATAGAAACCTGCTTTCTCTTCAAAAGCCTCCACAGAAAAAATTGGGAAGAGTATTTTCGGAATTCTTACTTAACAATTCAGTGGATTTTTCTCCTCAGAGAGATTCTTTCACAAATTCAACAAGCTCAATGTCCTGCACAAATACAGATGATGTAAGTGGGCAAAGCTCTGCTGATACTTCACGAGTAAGTTCTTCCAGTGCACTTTCTTCATCTAGCCAGAGGTCCTTTTTTGAAGATTTTGATAGACTATGTGATCTTTTCATCTGGGGGGAAGGAACTGGTGATGGATTGTTGGGTGGGGGTGTGCACAAAGTCGGAGAGATTTCTGGTGCTAAAAAAGATGCATTTCTGCCAAAGGCTCTGGAATCAACACTGGTACTTGATGTTCAGAATATTGCTTGTGGAAGTAGACATGCTGTTTTAATTACAAAAAGGGGAGAGGTATTCAGTTGGGGTGAGGGATCTGGTGGTAGGCTTGGACATGGAGTAGAAACTGACATTGCTAATCCAAAACTAGTAGAGACTCTCAATGGATTGAGTATCAACTCCGTTGCTTGCGGTGAATATCATAATTGTGCTCTCACAGTATCAGGAGACCTCTATACATGGGGAGATGGAACTCATAAATTAGGCCTTCTTGGTCATGGAAATGAAGTTAGCCACTGGACTCCAAAAAAAGTAACTGGTCAGATGGAGTGCTTATATGTGTTGTCTGTTTCTTGTGGACCCTGGCATTCTGCAGCTATCACTTCGCTAGGTCAATTATTCACATTTGGAGATGGATCCTTTGGTGCTCTAGGTCATGGAGATCGTAGCAGCTCAAGTGTTCCCAGGGAAGTTGAAACTCTAAAAGGATTTCGAACAGTAAGGGTTTCTTGTGGATTTTGGCATACTGCTGCTGTAGTAGATGTTTCTTTTCAATCAACAAGTTCAGAAACCTCATCAGGTGGAAAGCTATTCACATGGGGAAATGGGGATGAAGGCCAACTTGGACATGGGGATAAAGAACCTAGACTTTTACCATTCTGCATTACTGCTCTTGAAGAGATGAGCTTTTGTAAAGTGGCCTGTGGTCAAAGCATCACAGTTGCTCTTACAGCCTCAGGTGAAGTATACACTATGGGAAGAGCGGACTATGGACAACTGGGAAATCCTGGACATGCTGGTGGGCTGCCCACTTGTGTGCAGGGAAAATTGAAAAACATTTTTATTGAAGATATAGCTTGTGGCTCTTTTCATGTTGCGGCCCTGAGTTTGACATCTGAAGTTTACACCTGGGGGAGGGGAAAAAATGGTCAGTTAGGGCATGGGGACTTTAATGACAGGGACATTCCTACACTAGTTGAAGGTCTGAGGAACAAACAAGTAAAGGCTTTAGCTTGTGGGAACAACTTCACTGCTGCTATATGTCTTCATAAACAAGTGTCTCTAGCTGATCGTTCAACTTGTTCAGGTTGCACTCGTCCGTTTAATTTCAAAAGGAAATGTAAGAACTGCTACAATTGTGGGCTTGCCTTCTGCAGGGCATGCTGCAGTAAGAAATCTCTAAAAGCTTCTTTGGCTCCAAATATGAAGAAACCCTATCGAGTTTGTGACAATTGCTTTGCCAAACTGCATAAGGGCTCGGATTCAGGTTTTAGTTTTCTACCTCCCAAGGCCTTGAGCGGAACCAAGGGGAGAAATGCTGTTGAGGAAAAGGAGAAAGAGAACTTTCACACCAAACCTCATGGTTTTCTTTCTAAACTCTCCTCTTTTGATTCATTCAGACGATCTAATATTGGACATTACAAGAAGAGCCTAAAGTCAACCTCAATCAGTGGGCATTCCTCTTCCATCAGTAGTGACAATTCACTATGTGATAAGTCATGCATACCAACTCCATCAAGGTCTATGTTGGACTACCCTGAGAAAGTATCTATTTCTGCTCCTGGTTCAACAGGGCATTCTCAACCATCATCTCCTTGCTCTAGAGGATCAAGTCCATTTCAATCTGCATTGGTTATGCCTTCTTCTTCTCCTCCTCTTTCAATTCCTGATGCAGTATTTGATGATTCAAAGCAGAAAAGTGACAGTTTGACAAAAGAAATATTGCTCTTGAGAGAACAGGTAAGCTGTTACACTTAGAGGAATACGCTTGCCCTAAACTTGCATGAAGGTCTTTCTACTGTTATTTTGGCATCCCTCACAAGCATCAGAGTAACCAAATTTGACATTTTATTTCTGGATGAGTTATGCATATTGATGTCACTGTAGATATATAGTAACTAGTAAGCACATATAACTTTTCACATTTGAGGGAACTGATAAATGCACTAGTGAGTCCTTGCCTTTGCTCCTTGTCTATGTGTGAAGACTGCCACTTGTCTAGAATTATCAATAAGCTAATGTTGTTGATCCTATACTTCTTGTTAATGACATCCCATTTTCTTTGTGTGCTTTTGCAAAAACCACAAAGGAGGCAGCGTGCCATTAAAAATAATTAAAGTGCCATTGGCATTACCCCAACTAATATTAATCTTATCCTCTCAGAAATGACGGCTATGTGGTATTTTTTAATAGACTGTCTGTAAGATAATTAAAGGTGAAAGTATTCAACTTATCTGGCTAATTCTATTTATTGCATGTAATCATTACTCTATGATCTTCAAACTGTAGCTAATACTTGGATTCTACTCAGGGCTTGCATCATTTTTTTTGTAGTTTGCTTAAACATTTTATGTAAACCCCTTGAGTAGTTTCTGGTTTTGTGGGTATGGGATGTGCTAACTATAGTGATGAAGAGTTGACTCCCATATATATATATATATATATATATACATATATGTATATATGTACAGACGCACACCCATATATTGATGCCAATTTTTCATGGGTTATCTTTCCTTAGCCACAAGCTTTTAACACATGTCTGCAAACATATATTCTTGTTATTTGTTATGAAAGCGATATTATGCTTTTTATGCATGGTTGATCTGTGAGGGCTTCACAACACAGCAGGCCCTATACAACCTTATTTCATTGCACAATCTGTTGCTTCAAAAGTAGTATCATCTTCATCTATAAGTCTGATGATGATGTTAGCCTTAGAAAAAATCCAGTTTTCTTCATTCTATAGGTAATGATAATGAATGTGGCGTATACATTTCATGAGACAACAAAATGATAATGTTCTTTGCATGACTAACAATTAGCTGAGCAAGAAAGATCATTTCATCAAACTTGTTTAGTGTAACACTAAAAGAATGACCTTTTATGGTGACAACTAAATTAACTGGCAAAACAGTTGCAATGTGGAATAAGTAATACCAGCAGCTGGAGAAATAAAATTCAACTAAAATATCAAAATACCTGTGCAGTAATTGGGATTAACAGAAATATATCTTTGAAGTATGATGATGACTGGAGCTGGAATACTATATGTAGGTGGAGATTCTTACCTGCAGATCTCAGTTCCTGGCATCAGAACTGGAAAGAACATCAAGCCAAATAAAGAACGCTACAGAATTAGCAAGGTATGAGGCAGAGAAAAACAATGCTGCAAAGGAAGTAATAAACTCACTGATCAGGCAGGTATAAACTGCATCCTGGGCATAACCTCTGTTATCTGTTAAAGATGATTCTAAATTACTGCAAAATGAGAAGTATATTAATTATGTGGATTTTGAAATAGACTTCGAGTGAAAAGATTTGTACATGAGTGTTTTACAAGATTCATGGCGCTTTTCAAGGAAGATAATATTGGTATATGTTCCTGTTTGCATATCATGATCTATCAATCTTTTTAGAGAGCATGCCATCGTTTATTGGTTTTACAACGCTTTGGACTATTGGACAATTGTCCTAAAACTTTTTGGCTATAATTTTATTAGCAAGCATGTTCTGCTGGAACAGTGCGCATGCATATTGCCTAATAGAGTCAAACTATGAGGTGTTGAGCTGATAATAAGCATTTATTTTTTTATCCTATACACTGTACTATGTGATACCCATTTTATTACTAGTTTTTCAGGGTTTATTTCATATGTGATGCTGTTTGTCCATTCTCCGTGAATCATTGACTTTTCATTCATTGCTGACATAAGTTGCATTAAACAAAAATTTTGTGTAGTTGAGGGACATGTCTGCAAAAGTGCCTCAAGGGGCTTCCTCGTGCAGAACTTCGGATCCATTTTCAGAGAACAACTCCAATTCCCTGAGCATTTCTTCTTCCTGGAGCCAATTAACCAGCTAAGCTCCAATGAGCTTGGGAGGTGTTCTGCACATAGTTGTAGAGGATGTCTGACATTAAGTAGATTTAGACACTAACTCAAGCCACTTGGCAGTCTTCTGGACAAATTCACTTCAGGTATATTTACACATGCCTTTAAGGAGCTACTATTACGTGCTTTCTCAGACATTACCTTTATGTGATTTCTTTACTGAAGAATGTGGAAAGGATTACATGATCGGAAAATTGTTTCCAGATTTAAACTAAAATGCCATCACAAAATACTTTGCTGTTGATTCAAAACATCATGTAGTGATTTCTGTTTTTTGGTGAAGAGGGGTTGGCAATGCATTCTTAATGTATTAAACAGTTGATGCTTAACCAATTGCTCCTGGTAAGATGTTTGTTCTTTCAAAATTTCAATAAGATATTGGTTATCTCCAGCTGCCATACAAGAAATCTGGGTCAAGGCATTTGGTGCTTTAGGAAGTCTAGTTAAGCAACCTATGTGACAGCCACTGAAGTCTAGTTTTTGACTGTTAAGGAATTTACCAACTAGAGTACATGGAGGACTTCACTGAAAAGCAATGGCATCTTTGTCTCTGGATAGCTGTTGCTGTATCTTAGTTAATGATTTGGAAATACTTTTTAATTTTCTCGTGGTTGTAGGTGGTCGTCATTCTAGTACGAATCTTTTATGATTTAACTTGTCTGTGTAGGTGATGTGCACATAGATACATATACACACACTATAGATACATATACACACACTAGATGTATGAGAGACTGGCTATGCTTGGTTTTTTGTTTAGCATCTAAGGTTTCGGATCCAATCAAAAGGAAGAAAAGGTCTCTCTTCAATCAACTCCAGGCTGTGGAAACGGTTAACCCAAAATATCAAAAATATTTTGTTTAACCTTTGTGTGTGTGTGTGTGTGTGTGTGTGTAGATATATGTCAATAAGCTACTACACAAGCATATGATGATCAATCTCTACTCTGTGGAAGTCATTTTCTACTAGGAGAAGAGATCAATATTGGTTGCACACAAAAATGTCAATCTTACAACTCTTTTGCTCCTATTCTTCAGTTTTGGACTGTCTTCTCTGTCTATCTGTTGCAGCTTGAGACATTGACAACTAAGATCGATATCCGAGCAAATGATAAACTGATGCAGTTAGAGCAGCAAGACTTGGGTTGTACCATATCTTCGGCTTTATAGCTACCCTTTTTCTGAGAGCTCTTTCACTTTTGTTTTGACAGTAATGAAATTCTGCTTCAGATGTGATGTACAGTCATTCTTGCCCGGTGTATGGTTAGCATTACGTGTAGAGGCGTTAGAGAGTAGGCAAGGAAAAGAACGCTAAGATGCAGTTCAGCATTCTGCTGCGAAGCGTGATTTTCTCATGGTGCTTCCATGCAATGTCGGTTTTTTCTTTTCAGGGTATTTTGAAATTTGATCCCTATTGTGAAATTTCCGCAGCTAATATGAAGGATTGCCTTCATCGCCTGCTTATAGTTTGTTCCAATTTTCTTGTGATGACTGTTTTTCCAGAATGTTGGAAAAACAAAAAAGAGAAAGAGAACAACTTTTGAATACAAAATAGCCAATTGTACCACTACACGAAAAAAAATGCTGTGGATCATGTTACATGACGAAATGTTTTTTGATCTATCAATAAAATGTTAATAATAATGTCAACTGGGACAACTCTCTAATTGCTGGCATTCAACTTAATAGCAAAAGGACGCACTACAGACCCTACCCACAAACTACCACTCTCTTCATCTACGTCACTAATGTACTTCAACGTCTCCCCTTCTGAACTCTCTATCGTTTCCAATGTGTCGCCATTCTCACTCAGTCTAATTGCAAAAGCATACGCATCATCGGGATTACCAAAACGCGAGTCCAGTCTAGTAAAATCAAAATGGATTCTGGCTAGGAATTTTCCTAACCGGGGACGCGAAAGAATCCAATTGAATAAGCCGCCCTTTTCTGAATTAGCCGCCACCCAAAATTCTCCGTTTTGGTTCCTTTTGATGTTGTCCGGCCTTCCTGGAAGATTTGCAAAGACTTCAACCTTTCCGAGCTTTGATGATGGCTCAAGCCAATATCTTAGTATTCTGCTATTTGTGGTCTCGGCGACAAGAAGGAAATCGCCATTTTTGCTCAGCGCAACTCCATTTGGAAACATGAGGTTGTGCAGGAGAACTGTCACTTCATTATTTCTTGGATCGTACTTCAATAGTCTTCCTGAATTGTCACCGCTAAACATCACATTGGCAAATTCCCTGAAATTTTGGACCAAATCAGTGCCAAATACATATATATACACACACACTACAAAACCATATATAATCACACTCTTTTGAGTAATTAAGTTTACCTTCTTTCAAATCTTGTACTGGTATCAGTAAAATAGATTGCTCCACTATCTTGATCAATGACTAAATCATTGAGGAATTTAAAAGGAAAACCATCGACTTCCTGCGCCACTGGTGTAGCCAATCCACCTTTGGAACCCACTGCCAAGAGCCCCATATATGCATCCGCAATATAAAGGTCACCAGTCTTGTGATCGAAACTCAGGCCTAATGGCCTTCCGCATCTAGCCTCCGTGTTGACATGATCTGCTGAACCGTCACATCCGTCTCTGTGTGTTAAAAAAAAAAGTTTCAACAAAATCTATTTGGATAGAGTTGTATTTGCAAAAAAAAAAAAATTCGATTGAATCATAAATATGTTTTTTTTTAATTTTTAATAACTTTTTTTTATTATATATATATATATCACGTTACGAAAAAGTGATGTAACTTTTTTTCAAAATATTATTCGAAATAATCTCCAATTTGAACATGACAACTGATTAATAATATTTAGCAAACACTTCCTTAGCAGATAAAATGAAGAAAACAAACATAACTAGTACATGCATGTTAGAATTCATTAGTCTCTTGTATCAAAAAAAAAAAAAAAAAAAAAAACAGAAACAGAAAAAAGGATGAGGTTGGCACATTGTTCTGAAGTCAGAAACTTACAGACGGTCTAAGGAGGATTATTTGTGGCTTATATTCAAGAGGACCAAAGAATGCTTCTACATTCTTATCTTATTTGTAGATTGTTGGTAGCTATACAACGATTTCAAATCATACAAAACTTTTTTTTTTTTTTTTGACAAATTTTACAAGAAAAAGAGTTAGAGCCTGAAATAGTAATATCTCTATTGCATGCTTTCAAAATACATACGATTTGCCTTACTTAACCAGAGGATTATTTGTGGCTTGTCTTCTAGAGGACAAAAGCATGCCTCAAAATTCTTATCTTATTTGTAGATAATTAGTAGCTACTACGATTTCAAATCATACGAACAATTTTTTTTTTTTTTTACAATTTCGCTAATTTTACAACAAAAACAGAAGAACGATGACAGACGTGCGAAAAGTTAATCATAATCTACACAATCTGAGACCCTTAACCAGTAATTTGCCTATGAAATAATCCAAGTTAGAACAAATAGTTAGAACAATAGCTACAAGAATATGCATGGTCACATGCACATAACAAGAACAGTACAGACAGTCCACATAAATAGTTAGAACAAACACAATTTTTTCACAAATAATAGTTGTAAGAAACTATTAATTGTAACCTGAAAGGAGTTGTTGTTGCGAAATTTATCCACCGACTCTGGTTCCGATCCCACTTGATAATCCGGCCATCAGAAACACCGGTATAGGGGCCATCACCATGACGATCGAAAGCAAGGCTCTCTGGTCCGGAAGCACCAGAGATTGGAAACTGTTCATGAGACCATTTACGCTGAGAAATAGGATGTCTTGGTTCCTGACCAGAGTGGACTGTTCCAAGAGAACCAACGAAAATTAGAATGGCTGTTAGAAGTAAGATTGAAGAAGAAAAAAAGGGCTTAGAAGAGATCATGATGGCTATGGAGGGAGAATTACTAAAGGCTAAATAATTTCACAGAGTAGGAGTTTACGAGGGTATTATATAGACAATGTGATGATCAGAGTAGGGTGTTAATTGTAATCCCTTTTCGATTTTTGTTGGAACTGTAATTGGTTTGGTTATAGGAGTTCATATCAAAATTGGTTTAGAAATTGACTGCATGGGATGGGAGTTTAGGTGTTTTCAAGTTTCATGAGTACAAGGTTATTACTTATTACACGGACAAGCTAGGTAACTACGTAATCCTATTGGGTTTTGTGTTATGTAATTGATCAAGGTTTGGAAGTAAAACTCGTTTGGAATTCGATTCTAAAGCAATTTACCCTTGAGAACTTTAGGAAGGAGTTTGGGGTTAAAATTTGTCGTCACTTTATGGATTTTCTTTTTTATCCTTATAAAAATTATTTTTACTTTAACTACCTATAACTATCCATAATGACTATTTTAACTTTTAACTATTTAAGTATATGTCTTCTTCAACGTAACTACTCCTAAAAACATTACATCTATCAATATAAAATTATTTTATGAAAAGGATTTCAAAATTTAAAGTTTGCTTTAGTAATAAAAATTTTATTTAAAATATATGACTAGAAGTATTATATATTTTTTAATTGTACACACATTTGGTGTGTATTGAGCATTAGCAAGAATTAAATTGGTTGTTGAATCCATCAGTTTTCTTTGAATTTTACTCGAATTAAAACATCATGTCATTAACTCGTCAATGGACTACTTCGTTATCCAATCTAACTATCAACCCAAATTGTCAAGATGGTTTGTTGAACTGTTGGTCCTACCAATTAATAACTATGCGAATTAAACCGACAAGTCATTGACCAATCAGCGGTCTAACTACTAACCCAACCCATCTAGATCAAGATGGTCGGTTAAACCGTTGGCCCGGCCGAGTAATAACCATGCTCTTATGGTCACATACCATCATCTTGTGTAGAATATGCTGGCCTTTGCTCTTTGGATCTTTCATTCTTTAGTTGCCGTTACTCTTTTTGCACAATTTACAGGGGGAGGGGGAGGGGAAACTTGACAACTGAAACAAACAAACCGGACGGATTCCATATTGAATTGACGAAAGCCATAAAATTGAAGTAAAAAAGTTGACCTCCAGCCCCTGATCCATCAGTGGGACTAGGGAAGGAGGAAGGAGCTGAAGGATTCATACTTTCATTCCCTACACAGAAAGTTGCAGCTTATGCCCCAGTAAACTAAATGCTGTTTATTTGACCACTTTGATCCAATGTAGACATTGATTTCTTTCCAGGGGGATAGCATCCAAGGCAGCTGAGGGGTAACAGGTTATTTACTACATTATGGGATAGATAACCAACATAATTTGAGCAAAGCTAAAAGAGACTTTCTGGGACAAATGTTAGACTGGTCTCCCACCTTTAATGGCAAGAAACGATCTCGTCTAATCTTCTTCCTCCCCCTCCTTGCTCAATTTGGCTTGGCCATCCATGGATTGGTGGATAATTTCTTGAGCTTCTGTGAGTAGAGACTCTTTTTCATCCGCAGCATACAAAATCTTCTTAACTGCAACAGCAATCTGCAAAAGATTTAAGAGAAAGGGATGAATAAAATTCATTTTGCTTATGATATGCATTTGTAACAAAGTACAAATCGCGGCACCATGATGAATATATCTAACTCAGGAAAGCTGGGAAACTGGAACAGGTTCTGACGGAAGTTTAGATAGTTTGACAGGGGTACACATTACATTATGACGTAAGAAGGGTTTGAAGAAACACCACAGAGACAAGCAATAGCAATAGACAAGTACTCAGGGGAGCTTTGAGGAAATCATACTGGGATATTTTCTAATTCAGGACTCTGACAGAGAATCTCAATATCCCGTAACTTCCCAAAATAGAAATCTCTTTCTTTTTCCAAAAGGTCAACTGACAGCTTCAGATTTGTAATCTGCATGAGCATGTAATGAAACCAATTAGTACAAGACATTCAAAGACTGGAAAAACATGTTTATTTTTGCACAACATTTCAGAAGAAAAGCATCATCAGTACAGTGAGTAAATAGATTTGCAAAGTCATAGCAATCATCTATTTATCATTATGATTCAACATAAACTTGATTTTAAATTCTTGACGACCTTAAATAGATGCGATAGATGCTACACATTTACTCTTGTTTGCATGTGTTTAACTAGCAGTGATGCAAGTACAACTTAGATTAGATATATTGACAGCTAAAAGATGTTTTAAGAATGTAATTCGAGATAGATATGACCTAAGTACCTCCTTTGTCAATGCCTGAATCTCCACTGAGGAATTAACCCCACTAGATACTGGGCATTGCCTTCCTAACTTGGTCCCTTCATTAACACAAAGCGAACAAGAATCTTAAGCTCGGAGAATGGTGAAACACAAATAGTAAAGAAGAAGATGTGATTTTTCCCTACCTGCAACCTTGTTGATGCCCAACCCATCCCCGATGGCATGGTCATGCGTGTTGCTTGTTTGCAGAGACTTTGAGCTCTTCTGGGTCCTTACAAATCGTTCCTTCCCACCTTTACTTCTGCGCTCCACAGGGTTATAATTCCTGGATGACTCGAGAATATGCAAGAGACAAATATAAGGAAGCTGGTGTCAATGATT